TCTATCTATCTATCTATCTATCTATCTATCTATCTATCTATCTATCTCTATCATCTATTTACATTTATATGGCCTCCCAACTCACTTTCAGTGTCTGAACAGTTTATAAAAGTACAATCTCAATGCACCCCACCTCTCTGGTGGGGAAAAATCAAACAAGATTTTAAAAATCAAACGTTATAGTTTCCATATCATTCTGACTGGCAGAACCAGGTTTTCAAGGTGAAAGACTGTCAAAAGAGGGGGCCAATCTTACTGCTGTTGGGATGGTGTTCCACAGGGAGCGAGTCACCATAGAGAAGGCCCTTTTTTATTTCACTAGATAGACTTCCTTAGGAGAGAACCCATCATATTCCCTGTCTCTCCACTCTGATGGGTTGGGTAGATGTGACCAGGAAAAGATGGTCCTTCAAATAACATGGTCCCAAGCTATGTAGAGTTTTGAAGGTGACAACCAACATCTTGAATCTTTTTTAAATAAAAAATTCAATATTTATAATATTCACATACAAGCCATGCTCAGCCAGTCACATGACCAAGCCACACCCACAAATTAGGCCATGCCCACAGAACCGGTTAGAGATCCCTGGGATTTAAAATTATGAGTTTGGCGGTCCCTGAGGTCCAAAAGGTTGGCGACCCCTGGTATAGATGACCGTGAGCGGGGATTGTTGGGCCAGGTATGGGCATCATTGGTGCAAAACTCACAGTTGCACAGAGGTCCTCTGGGCCATGACTTCTACCTGCTACTTGAGTAAGAGTTGTGAGTCCAGGAGAACCCTCAGATTATGCACCAGGTCTGTCTGGGGTAGTGTAACCCCACCTGGTACTAGAGATGGCATTTTTCCGTTTGGCAGAGTTGAAGGATATTTTGCCACTCATCATGACAAATTGAGTTAGGAAGGATAAAATTGAAGTGGAGGATTTACAATACTGAAGTGGACAAAGAAGAAGAATTTTTTAATGTCTCACCAACAAAAGAGATGCCCTTCAGGAACAGGAAAACTTTTGGGAACCATCAGAGTTTTGATCCCCCAAAATTGGATGAAAATGGTTTGCCACAAATAGAGTAAGAAATGAAACAGAGAGGCCTTAATCATCAGATAACTGTGTTTAGAAGCAACATTGTGCAGTTCATGTGTAAAAAATTTAGTTTATAAAAAAAATCTCAGTGCTAATTTAATTAGAAAAAAGAAACAAATCATGTTTTTGATTCTGGGGTAATGTTTCCCCATTCCTAGTAATAGATAATTTTACCTGGCATTTTAGGACTTACAAGCAAAGGAATGGAACATTGACAAATATCCCTTATTATGAAATACCCAAAATACATTATATATAATTTCCCCACCACCACATTCTGATAGAAGATACAT